TATAAAGAAATGGCTAGACAATTTCAAGTGTGATCTTAAGCACAAGATTAATTTGGGCAAAAATGTGTGATCAGTTTATTACAAAAAATAAAAATCCTATTCGTGATAGTCAAACTAGCTTCATAGATGCGAAAAAGAAAACAATGGTTGTCCTTTTTTTAGAGATAATAACGTACCAACAGTGGACCTAAATAGTCTTCATGAAATTGACTCTTACAGATATGGCCTATATGAATTATATGTTTTCATAGCCTGGGCAATATGAAATTCGTACATTGCATCAGAATCATCTCGTAGCCATTTGGTTAGTTCTCTCCGGTGGCAGGAAGAGCGGATGCTATCAATTTTCAACCAGGACATACCTCGGCTTTAGTGTCTGACAATTTATCTTGAAGATCTTTTACTTCATCGGAATCGGAGTTACCCTTGCTCAGTTCTCCAACAGTTACCAGTTCTTGATTCTGAAACAGATAACAGTAATATGGATTCAGTATACGGAATCAGAACAAATTCAGATGTCAGCCCATACCTTGGCGACATTTTCTGGGCAAAAAATGCTTCTGACACACTTTAGGCACAAAATAACTTTCACTCAATGACCGTAAACTAACCACAATCCAACTGGCCAACCTACCTTAATCTCGAGGTTAGAAATACGTTGCTTGAGTTCGGCTATGAGCTGATCTTGCTCGCATTCCTTGATTTTCGAGTTCATTCGTTCTTCTTTGAGCTTCCCCTCGAGATCTGTGTACTTCCTAGTGGCTTCACGTAATTGTAACTCAAGCTCACGTTCTCGGGTAATTAATTTATCCTTTTCTTGTTGCAAATTTCTCAGGTCTTCTGCTTGCCTTCGCACCTGATTAACGCTCACCTGATTTTGAGCCTCCAGCTCCATTACTTTAGCCCGCAGTTCTTGCACTTCAGCCTGAACTTCGGCTTCACGCAAACGCAAAGAAAGTATCTGTTGTTCTAATTTCGTTGCCTCAGGCAGATCCGTAATTTGAGCTCCTGTCTGCTCGATGTGTTTTTGCCAAACTAGCTGTAAATCGGCAATGTTCTGCTTGAGCTCTTTAAGACCGAGATGAGCCTCAGCCTCCCGTAGTTTTACAGCAATTAATTCTTCCTGAAGAGCGGCTACAGAGTTTTCGGGGGTAGGTTGTTCGTGCAACCGCTTATTTTCGGCTTCCAACTCCTCTATCTGGTTCTGCAATTGCTTCATGGTTTCAAGATTTTCAGCCTCGCGAAGCTTCACTGCTACCAGCTCGTCCTGGAGAGCCTTAAGTACGTCGTCGGACGTCGAACCATTCGTGAGTGAACTTGGGTTGGACTGCGACTGTACAATATGAAGGTCAGTGTATTAGACCGATGTGTAGTGACATAAGGGGATGACAATAATAAGGAATTACTTTGGATGTCATCGCAACCCAAATGCTTCCACTCATGTGTTAGGGCCATATATAACGTCACAATAATTTTTAACAACAACCTATTACGAGATATTTAATGAGTCCGATACCTGAATAAGTTCCTGCACTTTTTCTTTTTGGTTCTCGAGTTCCATTGACAAGTGCAGTTCCTGTTGCCGGACAGCGGCAAGCTCGCGTTTGATAATGTAGTTTTCTTCGGCCTCCTGCGCTCGAACCACTTGACCTTGTATAAGCCGATCAGCCAAAGAAGAACTCTCCTTCGATACCAACAAAATAGAACAATTTCATACGATTTACCTAACATAGCAGTCTATTGTTACTAGACATGCTAAGAAATATCACATGATTGACGATTCATTTACACATAAAGCAATGTTGATATTGATTAACAATTTTGTTTAGTTCATTTATCCATACCAGCATCCACTGACGGACCGCGCCCATGCGCACCGGGCTGCGTGTACATTGTTCACAGTCCATCGTGTAACACAATACTACTTTAGCGATTACGCTGCTGACAATGTCTTCTCAGAACGAGTAGATGCGCTTCTAAGTACCGAATCAATAGAGTACCGTAATTTGACAAATATAAGAACACAATGAATTTGCGTTCTAGTCGGAACTTTCGCTTACTGCTGATAATAAACACGCAAGCTCGCACCCAAAATGTTACAACAACAAGCCGATGAAAACAATTTTTTACCTTTTGCCCAGAAGAAACTTTTTCTAATTCCTAGATACAGGCCACGTCTGCCGTGTTTGACAAATGCGCCCCCAACAACAGGCTGCATACACGCCCGACAGGTAGCTCCCTAGTTACTATATTGCTGTGAGGCTGTGTGCTGGCAGTTTGCATGTATGATGGCAGAGAAGTGCGTACATCCTAGTCGAAGTAAAGCTAGGTAAAATGAGGGATACCTGCCAGCCGTTTCAACCGGAGGAGCTTGTATTGTAGAGAACCGCCTATGTACAGGTCCATGCGAGATCTGAGCACCGACCAATCTCACGGTGTGTCATGATCGTCAGCGGAAGGGAGGACGGAACGGACACGTCGACGGAGGCGGCGTCCTATTCGTCGCTCAGCAACGAGTGTGGTCGCTTGATTGGCCGACGCACCGTGTGGCGTTAGAATATCCACAAATGCGTCGACATGCTTAACTGCATATATCTCGTAGAATAAAGAGTGCATAACTTTGCTCACAGCCACTCACAACAGGCCTTACACGCTGATCTCATCCAAGTCAAAGTTGGATAGGTCCCAGCCTGGCACCCTATCCGAAAGCCACACCCGACAACAGAGGTTACTGACAGAGAGGTTAGGATCAACAACGGAAACCTGAACTGCAATTCGCACAGCTGCCACGGCTGGTATGAAGCCCTACGCTTTATAATACGTCTATGATTGAGAAGCCGATGGGAGGCGTTACGTTCAGATGTGAATAATATATTCACAACTTACGCGTAAGTCTCCACCCCGTTCTTGCCCTAACGACCCAACGAACTTGTTCCCGGGAAACAATTGTTATTGTTGTCTCCCGCCAAAATAAACACTTCTGTCAAATTTGTTCACTATACTTAGTGCGAGGAAGCAACCTAGACAAGCAATCTAGACCTGATCGACCTTCGGCATACATTGGCCACTATGTGTCTGACTTCTTAATACCATATATATATATATACACACATGCATATGGCGCCGCATATCGAAGGCACGATAAGACTGTTATAGGCTTCTGACGTCAGGTCGATATTGCTTCGCGCGTCATCTACGTGATGTATAGAAACATGGAGTGGAGAGCCTACTTCGCGTCCAGCCCACGATGCGTCGCCCCGCTGATGTCATGAGCATAAACAATATGGTGCAGCATAGAAGTAATAATGAAGTCCCACTAAATAAAAAACAAAAAGCTGCTTACCTGCTCTAAATTTTCGACACGCTGTCTCAAGATACGGTTTTCCGTGCGTAGACGCCGTAGCTCAATCTGCTCTTCGGTTTCGCGCGCTTTAATTGCTTGGTATTCCTTTTCGAGTTTCTTCATTCGCTTACTATTGTACTTAACTTGAACAGCTAATGAGACAAGATAGTCAACATCAGTGGACACCTTGGACGGCATCTCTTTCTGGAAATACTGTGATAAAAGTCAACGACAGATTTCGCTCGGTGAGAAACACCGTTAGACATAACCCCCACTTCTTTTTCTCTTTTATAAGTCTTCATCTTTCAGAGATCATTTTCGTCGTTTTCGTTTTTATTTCACGTGTCTATGTACCATTTATATTTCATTCTAGTTTATTATCTAAATCATATCACAATAAATAATGATAACGTTATTGAACGTCATATGAGGATGATGACCTTGTCGTACCGATGTGTGTACGGTCGTTTAGAACAATACAGATGTATTAGACTTTACTTTTTGTGTATCCCAGAGCGCAAACCCAAGTTTTCACTGCTTTCGTACGTGTTATTTTATTAGTTCGGAGAGCGCCATATACAACAGCAGTAATTACCTTGATCATTTCCTCCATGTCGAGAAGGAGTATATCCTCCTTGCATATCTGCAAGATAGCTATGCCAAGCCGGAACACCATCTCAATGCCCTCGCTGAGAAAAAGGTCCATACAGCGGGTCGCAACCGGAAATGGCAGCACCGAGGTAAACAGTGTTAGGAACCATGACGAAGCGTACATCGATGTATGAAACGACTGTGATTGAAAGTGCGCATGCAGCTCGGGAAGAAGCTCCTGCACGAGCAGCTCCAACTGGAACATGTAAAGACCCAGCTCAGCCATCGAAGGTTTATACACCTGGCGACGGTTAAAAAAATGAACATATCTACATTAGAATCGCTTTAACGCACTGTGCAGTGGTTTAGTCCATGGATAAATTCGAAAAGCTGATTTGGTAATTATTCCAATACATAAATATATGTAAGCTTGTTAGAAAGTAGGCACAGTTCAGTAATTTCGCTTATCGCTAATATGTAATACATTTGTAATCTAAAATACAATATCATATGTTCTTTTACTAGAAATTCATTGGAGGCTTATTACTGTTACTTTTTTTTTTTTTTTTTTTTGTTTTCTCGCTTGATGCTGAACTACAAAATAAGTATTATTATCCTTCTTAAGCTCTATTGGGATCACTCTATTGTAACGTTATCGTTTTCATTGATCGGTACAACTTTTTGCTTATTGGGTAAAAGCCGTCAGCATAAATATATGTCGAAGAGTTAGAAGCTAGTTAAACTAGGCATTTACTTGACCGAAACGTGCATAGCGACCGGAAAAAAGTAATACTGTATGCACGACTTAAGCGAGGTACGAAATGATAATAATAATAATAATCTGTCATTATTTGTCAGCTATTAAAGAAAAGGACGGCGCTAAACGCAGGATTACCTTAATATCAAACAAAAAGTAATTTATAAATTGCTCTCTATTTCCTCTTGCTACTCGACAGAAAGGTTAGATAAATTATTCAGAACGTGCAGATCCAATCTAATACGCACTGCTGTTTCGGCTGTTACAACACTACCGCTGACCATACAAATCTACATAGTTTTATCAGGCACTCTCAAAACAAGAGCAAATAATGAAGCTCCTACAGGCACGAAGAACTCTAAACCCACACAACTATACCGAACATTATTAGTCTTAAAGCTAGGACTACGATTAGTGCGTAAAAAAAAAACACTGGCTACATCGATTTCTCGATTTTTTGCTAGTTTACATGTTGGCCTCTTTTCTTGACCTCGCCTTGAGCCTTCTTCTACCCTGCCTGTTGCCTGAAAACCACACAAATTTTGCCAGCATCCGCGTGAAAAGAAATGTATTACAGCCACAAGTATGCCAGGGTAAACCAACACGGACGAAGTAGGTACATTACTGCAGCCAACCATGAAAATGAAAAGTTCCATGCTTGCAACATACTCTCTTTCACCTACTGCTGTTACAAGTGAGAAAAAGCGCAGCAGACGACATTTGAAAAAAAAGGTCTGTTATTTCCCACGCTAACGCCTACGCACGTTCTCTTGGTGTCGTACTTCGGCACGAATCGGCTCTGCATTGGGTCGCTCACATCACGAACAGACGACAACTGACGCGTCCGCCACACTTGGTCCGAATGGAAGCTTAGGAATAGGCGGAGGACGGAATAGTAGAAATCGCAGTGTGTCGGGCACTCGGCTGTGTGTGGCGCGGGACGGGCCTGCTCGTATAGAACCATTCCCAAGGGGTTCACGCCATGACGACTATTGCCTGCAGTGACTTTCTTTTCGCTTGGCGATATCTCGTACAGTCCGCACATGTATCTGCAGTTTCTTTAATGGGTATGATACCCAGGCGAGCGATGCTTTGTTCTACGCCCCACTGCCCCACACTGCGAGCTTCACCTCGCTCCCTTTTTGTACGCTGGCATCGAACTGTTGTCAAGGGACGAAATGTCGCGATTGCTGGATATGGTAGGATGCGTGTTAGACCGCTTGCTTATGGGAACATCATCATCATCAACTCAAAACTGCCGTACACGTACCCATACGGCATCAGCAATATTATGTACGAAGCAGGAGGTGAAAACGTGTCGAGCATAAACAGAACACCAAATAGGTGCTTGGCAACATATTTCACCAACGAAGCTTTACGCCTGTTTAAAAAGCTAGCTACCAACATTGTCACTATTATACCGTCAAGATAATCCGCTTCATAGCCAGTACGTACTTATATTTCGAAATGCATCCAATACTAATGTCCAATGGCTTATACCTCAAACTTCTGAAAGACGCCTCGAAACGAAAAAAGCTTACTAACCAGTGGGATCAATGACATGCATAATCATTCCAAATACAGTTAGATAACTGCCTATTACTATAAGTTCTAATAATTTAAATGGACACACCTCTCTCAGTCGGTAATCGCTCATCATGCGCACTAACACAGTGAAAGTTTCTAGTTCGGGCATGTGCAGCAACAGAAGGCCGACAATGAACGCGCTACCCTGACAATAGCCAACCTCGCGATCGTGTAGCGAGTAAGCCTTCATCACGTTGAACAATGCCTCCTGACCCGGTCCGTTTTTCTCCCGGAAGAAATCCTGCTCTGGGTACGTGCGTGCTATATCTCGTCGAATGACCTTCTCACACGGAGAGGTGCCAGCCAGATAGCCTTCATAGAGGTCGCGTGCGCTACACGTCGTCGCATTGCTTAATAGTTGCCAGGCCACAGCACGAAACTGTGGAGGGATTCCTTTACGGACAGCATCCTGAAACGAAATCATCAACGGTAAATGAAGATGACGGCTACTGGCTCCTTCATAGCGCTATAGTGCACGGACGTCGTGTTACGCTCACGAGAAACTTTGCCTGCCGCATACAAGTGTGTCGTTTCAATGGGCCACATGAAAGATTCCCTCAACCAGTACCGTTTGGCAGGAAGAGCTCTTAGGTGACATATTTATGCTGCACTCTTGTAACGACTGCGTCGAAGCAAACTTATCAGCCATCTTTAACGCAGCTGGTAGATTTACGTCGACAGGACATCACTTTTACGGTTGTGCCATTTGCCAAAATGAATAAACACATTTAATAATCGATTCTTCATTCCTGCATTGCATTGTGTCCTGTTGCCGGTTCGTTTCTATTGTTTAAGAGTTCATACATTTCTAGTTGGGTCGTACGGGAAGCATCGGTGTGTTTTCAGCATTTTAATGTATAGAATATCTAAGTCATAAATAAGCTGAGCGCGTACGTTATGTAGAATGTGGAATAGCCGTCTAAGCTGAAAGAATTGCTTTTACTACCTGTATATTTGTTAGTAAACACATTGAAATTCTTAGTTGTTGCCTAGTTTATACTGTGAAGCGCGATATCTAATACTGCTATAAAGATGCTTGAGGTAACAAACACCATATTCCTAAAACTGTCCTTTTAGATATTCAAAGCTACCTACTATATTAAATGCATCTTATAATATAATGCAATTCGTCCGTTCCCTATTACGTGCGTTCGTATGTATATGACACTGTAGTAGTAGCACCAGTTACGAGGCCTGTCTGTCTAGAAGCTCCTGAACCCAAGGTTATACCAACAGCCAGTGCAACACAGTCAGCCGTATTTAGTTGGTCACCAATTTCGCCAATCGTTCGCCTTCTCTTCCCAGATCTTTGCTCCTGTCATGTTTGCTGGCTCAGAATTGCCAGAATCGCAACATGTACCCACACTGTCGTCTATACTTGGGTGTCTCGCCTACAGTTTTTACTGCTGACGTCAACAGCAGTTAGAGTGAAAGCCGAAACAAGTGATCGAGCTGGAGTAAACAGCGGTCCTAGAGCAAACAGTCGTCTACGAGCGAAAAATCGGTAGTGACTAGAGATGGCGCATTGTCGAGGGTACGATCTCATAGTGGAGTATCACAGCAGCGACTGACATGCCCTCGCTGGCTTACAGGGGCAGATTGGCCGAGAGACAGTCAGAGAGACAGGACGTCATCTATAATTTCACAGCCGCCGTCTCCAGAACCAACTGACTGATCCTGCTCTTTGTCTCACTGTTAGCAACTATTCTTGTCAACTGTTCAACGCTCCTCTTTGTCTTGTGAATCGGACCAATGCGCCCCATCAACGATTCGACAACCCGCAAGCACACTAATCCGGCGCACCTGTACCCTACATAGCTTCTGTCTTCATTGAATCACTTCCCTCGGTCGGACGGAAAATCAGAATAAAAATTGAGGCCCAGAAACTTGCAGATAACAATATTAAATCCTGGTGAGGCTCGTGCGCGTATTGCTTTTATTACAACTGCTTGCTTTGCAGCATTTGGGTTTTTCTTGCTGATGACACTCATAGGCGATGCCGAATGCCCATTCTGCTCTTTTTTTCTTGTCCATCTTCAGCGCAGCTAGCACAGTGACGCATCTACTGTGCTTTGCTTTATGAATCTGCTATCGGTCTAGTAAACACAAGCGTATGCCAACTATCCCATACCTGACACTTACGCCGAGCTAAGTTAACGACGTACAAACGTTGTAGGTATATTGCTACAGCAACAGGAGATAGTTGTTCCTGTTATTCCTTCCAGCTCTAACTCTTAACGTGTATCCATCTGTCACACGGTTTGTTTACGATCATGCTATGGATAAGTATTATGACACTACTACATTATACATATTGTCTGAGCGACCACTCGATGTCAGAGATTCCAAAGATAACTGATAGTATTATATGAAACGCTAAACATAACAAACCATAAAAAACATGCGCCAACTGTTTTATACTATGTACAATATTATTACCTTAAGGACGTCTGGCTTTTTCTTTTTAAGGTTCTCGTAATCCTGGACGGTTTTGCCCCACTGTTGAAGGATATCATCCTCGCTGTCGTCTATCGAATTGGCTCCGGAGGATCCGCTTAGTGATGTCGTCCCATTCGTATTCATATTGACCGAGATCTGCGACGTGTCAGAGGACCGTCGCGAATGGCCCGTTGAAGTTAACGATGAAAGCGATTTGGAATCCTTCTCCAACAACCTGATTAAACGATTAAACGGTTACTTAAGCTGTACGTATATGGGTACAGCGCTAGCATAGCACAACAATGATTATAGCGCTTACCCAAACCTGGTGACTTACCGTGAATGTGTCAAATATCCACTTATACACGTTGGACAATGAAATAATTATATTCAATTAATGGTCCACTTAGAAATTCAAATTACGCTAAGCGATCGACGGTTGAGTATCCGTTACAGGTAGGTACACAGTTAGATGCCTGAGCCTAACAATGAAATGTAGTGTTATAAAAGTACTATGCGCGAGTTCGGGGTTGAGCATTTCCTACCTCTAATACGTATTCAGGGAAATCATAGGTAGACGTGAATTGGTAGACCATTTCAGGCAAAAGCGGTGCAGTGTAGAACAAGTATGAAAGGAATAGTAGAATTGGCATTCACTTTGTACTGAATTTGTGTTCCTACCGCTCGGAATTGGTCCCGGTAGTACGACGTTGGGCGGTATTGATGGCACGGTCGACGGTTGAACAGGATTTATGAAGTCTAAATTGTAAGTGCATCATCACACTAATATGTTACTGACTTTCTTATTACTACATTAATGGTACATTTTAGGACACGGGTATGACCTTATGACGGTTATTACTCTGCACAAGTGGCTTAAAAACCAACAAAAAAACACAAATTATTCGCATCTTTAGTATATTGCCTGTGAAAAATCAAATCCGTATGCATGCCCAAAACAAAGTAGTGGACAGAAGCTTGAAGCGAAACATTCCAATTATCGTATTTCAAATCGTGTTTTAACATAAAATCTATAATCATGATTTTGTGTCATCCCACTCATCTTGTCAAATTCTCTCACTTCTCGCTTTTTTTCAAATGTGGGTCGCGCAGTAACCGAATGTGAGAAACACGTTGAATGGCCCATCTCATAAGCGTCTGTTGCAATATGCGTGCTGTCAAGATTGGTGACCAATTTCGAGCAAGAACATCTACCCACACTGCCCCGCCGTCTGCCCATCGGCCTTTGCCCACTTGAACGGCTTTCTAGTGTTATCCGATGAGGTTTCAAGGATCAAAACGCTTCTTCATACCAAAACGAAAAAAAGCCTTCAAGTTCCGCAAGTTTCCTATAAGCCACGACTGATTATACCTCGTAGATATATATGGGTATATTCGTTCCGCTCACAAGACCCCCAGTAGCAAATGTTTGGGGACAGTCACTCACATCAAGAAGAACGAGGGCATTGACATACGAACAGCACAAACAAGGATGCTCATTAGCGGGACTCTACCACTTTCCTTTATGTTTCAGTAGAACCCTCAGCTCGTCCGCATCTTGTTCACTGCGTGTCATGAGAATAAGGAAAAATTTCCCCATTATTCATCTCTCTATTCCATCATGCGCCATTCTACCTTTCAGTCCTTCTTCCCTGGTTACTCGTTATTTCATCCGTGTGCCTGTGCTTTTGAGCAATTTAAGCTACGGAGGCCTCCTAATTCATATTACACCAAAACAATTTGCTTGTTCTATAACTTCTCCCAGCTACGTACGCTTAGCATAGTCTCTGCCCGTTGCCGCTTTTTACCACTCAAATTTCTAACTTTTTCACCGTGTCCAGATTTTTTCTAATTAATGGCCCTGCTGAGTTGAGCATCCGCGAAGCTAATTCAGGTTTCTCGCCAAGATGTATCTTTCTTTCATTGGTATCGAGTTCCCTTAATCTGAATTCGTCAGTCTTTAACTTCTTCCCCACTAGCACGTAAGAAAACACGAAAGAAAAAAGCAGGATCCTTGAACTTTGATTTTCGATGTGGTTTGATAATTAAGCCGCTCAAAAAAGTAAGATTAGTCGAGGTTAGAATAAATAGCCGAGCTCAATATTGGCGGGTCCTAGAAATGGAAACCAAAACCAACAAAAATCCAACGTTTATTTTTGTTTTAACTGTTTAATATAATTTAGTTCAACGTTTGTGTTAAATGGACTGGATGTTTATTCAGTCACTAAAATTGTCAGGAATGCTATTGTAGAGTAAACTGAACATCGTCTAGAATCTTACGTCTGTAAGTTATGAACTTTCTTATTCGGGTTTCGCAACCAACCGCGCTGGGTTTTCCGGACAAATTAACCGCAAGCGGTTCTTTCTGCTGAAGTTTACGTTCTATTCAAACTATAGGTGCTGCTAATTTTAAGGTTCTACACGTACGTGAACTCAATAAGACTTCCTGTCCTTCCTTTTACCTAAATTCTTAACAAAGACACACTTACGCACAATATTTAGAAGGAAAAAAAGTACCGATGTTTATCGTGTGCGCGAAGCTCCCACTCACTCCCAGCTTTGAGTTGCTAAATCAAGATCATGTCCTAATTTGAACGTCACACAACGTTGTGTTCTAGCCTAGATATAAAAAATGGTTTGTTCTCTTTTCAATATCAAATACAAATTATAATCCTTCTCTAAATACTCATCACGTTCGTTAGCTTAAAGGAAGTCAACGTTTATCTACCTGGCGTTTCTCCTCCGTCGGTTAGTACAGAAATTCAATCATATTAAGTGCATTGTGAGCCACAACAACGACCAGGCGGACCAATAATAGTGTGTTTTTTTCCCTCTGCATGCATGTGTGTATGTAGACATGTGTATGTTTATCACCCCGCTAGTTCCTCATTCTGTCTGGAAGTTCAATTACACGATGCATTAGCTCAAAAGGGGACTTTCCCACATAGCGACTACCATCCAAATGTCACCATCAAATTCGGATTTCTTCGTCCTTGATACCTCGTCTGCGCGTATTGTCACCAAATAGCGACATGGCAACGAAAGGTTCCAGGTTGCTAGCGCGCGTTATAGCTGACAACAGCGGCCAACAAGAACCGAGTTCCCGTTTCGAGACAAAGTTGCAGGTGGCTAGTCGTAGACCGATAGAAATAGTGGCAGTAGTAACTTGGCCAGCAGCAACAACCGTTAGCGGCCAAGAAAAGAAACCCTTCGAGGGAATGGCCAGATTCTGGATCGCCGCGATTAGTCAGGCCGACAGTGCCGCCACATCACTTCTACGGTTGCTACTATTACCGCTCTGCCGTTGTTAGCTCAACTTGAATGGCTCACCAATGACTCATCACTGATTGCGTGGACCTCTGGAAAGCGGATTTCTAATAGTGAGTCATCAGCAGACGATCCGCCAGTATCAGCAGCACCTTCTGTCCATCCATCTGCGAGATTTAATACGCACACAGAGCGAAGTCGCTGGACCAACAGCAATAACAATGGGTACCGCAGCGATAGCGATGCTGAAGAAAGATCATAGCGACGTCGCAAGTTGCGGTTCTGTGTGGAAGTTTGGCCAGGCTAGAAATGTTTCTACTGCATATGCTGCTACAATACAAATCAGTGCTTGCGTTCGACATAAACCGACAATATGTTCTTTCTTTGCGTACTCTACATGTTTGTATGTTGGCCAAGGATCGTTGGGGCGTCAAGTGAAGATAGAATCGCAATAGTGAGGCTCAGGATATTAGAGCTTAACCACGCAGGCATTACCTAATGATCTCATACAGACCATGCGAGACTAGTACTTGTACTGTCGCTACCATAGCTTGCCACGGAGTTAAGGCGTTGAAGATGGTTCTCTGATCGTTGCTTTCGAACTTTCATAAGCAAAGAATCACTAGCGACTACTATTCACTACGAGTGAACAAACAGAACGAAGATGAAATTATATATTAGCTCTTTGTTTGTTCTCGGCTGCTTTAGCCAGCAGCATTACACTGTACATGCCGGCTGTCGTTTCGATTCACTCGTTATGAAGTCCAACCTTCGCAGCAAAAATGATGCTTTCTTCACATACAAAACATGTATGTGAAGAAAGCATCATCTTTGCTGAAACGAAGTTTACAGACGTCACTCACGACAATATTCCAGTGCCTGCAAGAGGAAAGAGGCGGAAAGCCCAAGAAACGCTAAGTGAGGTGTCAGCTTTATTTGAATACTTAAAACCCTCCTGATTTACCTTCCATGAAATCCTTAATCGATTATGCCCAATGTTCGTTCCGCAGTCACACTCTCAAAAAAAAAACCTTGTATCTTCTTTCTACGCGACACGCTAGCCCGCTCCATGCGAATTCTCTTCCGGAGATCCCTGCTAAGCTTTCTCCTTTCCAAACTCGCAAGTTCTTGTTTTTCTGTTAACGAAGCAATAGCAACGTATCATAGAAATGTCTTTTGTCTAATTTTTTTGTCTGTTTCGACTGACTTGAACTTTGCGATGCCTTGCGCAACTCACGAAGGGGAAGTGCTTACACCTACCGACAGCCATCACACGAACTCGCCGTCTCACCGTGATACCTATTTTTGCAATATGGTTGCAAGAAAACAGAATAGTGATGCAAAAGGTCTGACATATCTACAGAAGTGAGACTATTTGTATATGCCATGCGAACACACTTTAGTGTTCGATATTCGTATCGATTTAGAGGAAAGGCATCAGTGAACCGCATGCGGCAATGAGCAGCGCAAAGACGATACGGCTCGTCGCTTACCGATTCTGCTCCTCTAGCTTATGCAGCAAGGCGATTTCGTCCTTAGAGACATCGCCGTTGAACTTCCTGTGGCACGGGCTACTATCCACTGACACCGAACTGTTCATGCTCCCTCCGTCCGGAGAGCTTGAATCCGACCTAAAACCGACAAAAAACAATTGGGAATGAAAGTCACTAATGTACATGACAAAGCGCAAATTCTGCTTTTATCGAAATCGATTAAGTCTGTGCGTATAGATAACTACATAAGCAACACCCTATATAAGAGGCAAAGTACATCAATCGCACCTCCGAAATCGAGCGTTGCTTGTAAGAATAAACACAATATCACCATTTTCTCAAGCGATCTTATTTATCTTGCCCATTTAGAAATACGTGTTGTAGACAAATACAGTTGTGGAAAAAACACTTCCTTGGATTTCTTTTCTTATAACTGAGTAAGCAAGTAATAATCGATAGAAACGTAGCATATAGCTAATATTATAAACTAGTGAATTTCCATATTAAATAAACAAAAAGGAACGCAGAAATCGGAAGTAGCGTGGCGATAAAAGAAGTGGCCTATATCTTCGAAAAAATCATAAAGAAAGAAACTGCTATGTACATAATAGTAAGAATAATAATAATCTTAACCTCAAGACTGTTGTTCAATCTAAAATTAAACAGGAAACGGTTTATTTATCTGTTAAAAGCAAACTAATAGCGAGTTGACAACTCCTTGTACTGCTTTCGTTTCATTAGCTTCCTGACCATCTAACTGCGGTCTTCGTTGCGCAAGCTCGCCCCTTACAAATGGCCGGTGATACCTCAATCAAGTCTTGCAATCAGGCTTCTTTTTAGTTTAGCTAATTTCATTATACCAATCCCCATATAACTAATCCATAGGTGTCCTATCAAGGCAAATAAATGTAAGCTGCAATTTACCGAAATTAATTGCGCTCTCTATCATCGTTATTGCTCGTCAGGATTTATAAAAACATAATTTTTAGTTTGCTTAGAGGGTGCCGCTGACCTAAATGGTTCTTCCTAAAATTCATTCCATTTACCGATTTACGATATACAATAATTCACGTTAAACTAGAATGTTGACTATTTCTACTATTTGAATGAGTCCTTTTTTTGCTACTCAATGGATACGAACATCCAGCATTTGCTGTATTATAAATAGTTGTCAAGAGCTTACACAAATGACCACGATATCTGCTTTACGTTATCGTTACCCTCGGCTATTAAGTTGGCTGCATCAGTTTGGAAGCTAAGCAGTCTCCGAAACCCATCTAATGAGCCGGCAGTACTTCCATTCTTCCACTGGCTACGCTTCATTCGTATACATTACCAAACTAAGTCCAATCTCTCTGCCCTCTCGGTGTGCAGATCCCTACTACGTAAATCAAGAACCCGTTCATGAAGCGGCCGCTACGCTTACAAGCTTCGTCCAATGTATCCCACAGCTGAAAACATCTTTGGACTCATTCGCTCTGGGTCGCTTTGATAATCCATCTGAAGTCCCTCTTAGGCTCATCTGTTCCTTCTGCTGGGCACCTGATGGCCGTAATGCGATTTTTTGGGTGCTTGTAGCATGTGTTGTTTTACTTACAATTGCCTATAGGGAGTCGGAGCTCTACTAATTGCTTGTCTCTCCTGCCTAACATACGTCCACTGCCGGCTGGTTTCACTGTCGTGGTTGTTTGTATCTAACTAGCGTGTCCCACATTCCCTACCACCGTTCGGCAACTGGATGTGGATCCAAATGGATGGATCACCTGGGCTTCATTCACCCCGTTTGGGCTCCGTTCGCTTCCGTGGGACGTGCAACTTAACAGCGGAAATGGCAACAACGATCACAGTGGGCCCACCATAATCACGTTAGCAACAAGCAGCCACTGCAACACTGAGTATTGCATTAGACCGTCGTTATCTATGACGACCATCTGAAGGCAACCAAAAGAGCCGCCTCGAATAACAACAACAGCAAGTTTAACGGTTTACCTAGCATACCGTTGCCCCAGAAGCGTCGACACGCACACACAGATAGCACGACAGGTAAGCAACGAATATAGGAGGTCACGGCCTCGAGAATGATGCGCTTCCGTATAACATCAGGCAGCACACACACGACTGCAGCATGAAAAGGGCGCAATCAGTAGTATAAGGTTAAGTAACTACGGGAACCTTGCAAGCCGGTCACTTACCGGTTATTAGAGGGATCCAACCCATCGTAAGTACTCGGTAAAATATCCCTGACACCAGTAGTAAATGTTCAGTTTTTCCGGCAGGTGCTCTACGCCCGAACAAGGCATCAAAAGTACTAAGGGCTGCTAAGGGAAATATTGTCAATAGATAGCAACAACAAGAATGGTGACATCAACAAAGATGACCACAGCCACGAAGACTGTTAAGGATGAAGTGCGGAAGTATTTGGCAAGACTCCACTTTGTCCAATTGCAACGACTATTCGACTAGTGATGCTGAGAACAACGCACTAATAAACTGTAACAGTCGCATGGAGAGTAAAATAAAATTACGTTAACTTACAAGTTACTTAAACAAGCAACCATTTATATAGTAAATAACTCAACACAATTTTGTAATGCAGCGCCCCAAAATAAGCACACAGTTTATGTCTAAAAGGAATCAGCGGTTGAAATGAAAACCTCAACAGTTGTCGTTAGTGTGGGTTTGGAACAATGTTTGATAGTATAAAAACAGAAGTAAAGACGTTAGAGGATGATTTTTCTAAACACTTTTCATTGTTTGTTTACACAACTGTGTTTAAACAACAATTAACTTAAGTAGCAGCAACTCTCACAGAATATATATAGATCGTGTAATGAGGCGATTAATATAATAGCTGTTTGATATAAATTAAATTTTCTATTACATATATAACACTGCCGATCAACGCGTTTATTCGTAATAAGCAAAGCTTCCCATACCACCTGTTTTCATCCGTCACACTCTCAAGTGTGCGTAAACTACCAATACGTATTACTAGTCTTAGTAAAAACATTGCCAATCGCTGGAAGCTTAACAATTAAGCAAAAATGTAAACAGTAGGACCATCAGTCAGCTAATCAGCAGTTAGCGCCCCATACGCTTGCGAAGTAGTTCTGGCTTTTCTTTCTCGTTTTTTTTCAAAGTGCGGCTTTTTACTTCTGACTGGTCTGTTTGTTTTCCTCTTGCTGCTAACGACGAGCAGAACGCTCGAAGAGTCCGACGTTTCAATCATTACTCGGCACGCCGATCAGCGCTAGTCGCACAAAATATTGTCGTCATTTGCTGAGCTTCTGATTTATGAACGCACTTTTGGACAATCCTTGGGCACATTCCTCAACAGGTCTCAATGACGACCTCCAACGTTTGATAAATGCACTGCAGGACCAGCATCGAACCAGTTACCCCCTTACACCCCAGTATACCCACACGTACGACTGAGCGTAGCTAAGTGACATTCCTGATTCAAGTCATTAGTCCACTTTACTATGCGCTTACTACCATTATTACTATTATAAAATCCTCGTGCAGGAAGTTCATTTAATTGCACTCTATAACACTCTTCAACTTCCGAAAGCTTACATTGTCTCTAATAGCTATCCTGGCTATATTGTGTTTATTCGCTTAGAAGTAGAAGAGTCAACGAGGATTCTCTGAAAGAATCTACTCATTAAAACTGTACAAATATTTCATAAACAAAAAGGACATTTGTTAAAATTGGTCATCGCATGTTTATGCCACACGTTTTCCTTCTTTACTTTTTTTTGTACCAGCTGAAACCTCGCAGCAGTCATTTCCACGTACCTGTGACAGGGTTAGGATAACATTGCAGTATTTTAGGAGCAGGCAGTGCAATGATATTTAAACAGGTCCTTCGAAAACGAACTGTGTGCCAACAAAATAGACAGACAGTTAATTCAAATGCTTAAAATATATATTTCATTAGAAATAAATTGACATTTGGTATAAGCACTGAAAATTGCCTTAGCAGGCAGATAATCAAGTACAAATACCGCCTCGTCTTTTTGTATTCCCATCAAGACCTTTGATGGAATCTAGCTCAGTGATTGGCTGGCCGATTGCTATGCCCGACCATAAGATGATAGCTGTGATTTTTATTGTGGCTGTAACAATTCAGTAATAATATTACTGACGTAGGTTTATTAATCAAATGGCGGTTTTTTAATGTCAATTATCACCTCAGTGTCGTCTGCTATTGTGTATAGAAGCTATGCTGTATTTACGCATAAGGTCTCTCTCATAGCATCATTTCACGATATGTTTGTTAAACTAGAAGTACCTTGAACCGAATAAGTAATTTACAAATATGCCTCTTTGCTGTGGTGAGTCAGCTTGTATTAAGGCAAAAAAAAAAAAAAAAAAATATTCCGAGAACCGTGGGAAAATGTTGAGGCTCTATATATAGACACACACACTTGTGCATTAGTTTAAGATATCAAGGCGCCACACGGATGCAGCATCTTGAATAAACCCCACTATGGCCCAAGTTGTATTGGGTTGCTGGCCCCAACTTGGAATAGTTAGTTAAATCTTTTTTACTGTTATTTGCAAATGAGTGGACACCTTCCATAATTTTCTCTGTCTGTAAAAGAACTTCCGGATTACATCCCGTCATACATACATTAAACATTTAGAAATGTTTGTCGCCACAACACCAAATTACTATTATTATTATGCCATATTAGTACTCGATATTCAGAGCAGCAAAGGGCCTTATAATGAATGACGTGTAGCCTACTAGGTGCGAATCAGACTTAAGGCCATACGCTATCTTACATAGAAATAAAACTACAGCGAATCAATATTGTACAGGACTCTTACACAATTGTGCGCTGGGTTTGAATCAAATTTTAGCGTTTTTTTTCCAATATTCCAAACATTAGCTTTGCATTCTGAACTTGTTGGTCGCTGCTAACAGAAACACTTCATTAGTGATGACATAACACGTCCTTTGTGACGTCTGAGGCCGGTGACTTCCACATGAACATTTGATACAAATACGCGGGTAAAGTATTTCTATGTTTACCGAATAGATGAGCATATAATGAGAACATGCATACAAAACCCACCGGTATAGCGTTGTTAAGCGGCCTCTACACGAAAAATCAATAAACACATCAGCT